TGATAGGCCTTTGAGAAAAAGAAAATGAGCTGGAGCAAATTTATAGTGAATAGAGTAAGCGGATTCGACTATATGCATATGAGTATATATATTTACATATGCATGCAAATACACACGAGCGCATACACACACATACATACACAAGGTGCATCCACAAAGTAACAGGACAAATTAAAAGATCAAACGATATATGCATGTTTAAGAAAGGCTAGGTTAGGTTAGGTTATTTAATTACGGCAAAGCCTCGAGCGCTATCTGCCTAAGAGGAGGGATGCCTTCGTGGAGGACTTTCTAAGGGAAACTGGCTCGTATACACGTTACACATGAGGAAAACCACGAAAACACTCATGCAGCCAGCCCGTTCGCGGGATTCGAACCTCGGACCGAACTACCAGTGTTCAGCGACTTTACCGCTCGGTCGCTGGTGGGATGTTTAAGAAAGAGTGACATTTTAACTCTCGTCGTTTACATAAAAAATGCCGAAGTCATTTTCATTTACTGAGAAGACACTGTACAAAAAGTTTGCTTCGAGATGGAACAACATTATAACATTAAATTTTGTTACAAATTAGCTAAATCTACTAGCGAAACATTAGAGGTGATTCCAACCGTACACGGTGATGCATCGTTACCAAGAACGCCAAGTGGACGAACGGTATAACCGCTTTAAATATGGGCGCGAAAACGTTGAAGATGAGCCAAGTTAGAGCGCCCTTCAAAGAATGAGGAAAATGTGGAGAAAAATCTTTCTTAGGTAAAAGCTGATAGACGAGTAGCAACTTTCAGACATGCTTGAGAAAGAAAGCTGCGGGTTAATTTTAATTAAGGACCTGAAAAAATGAGGAAATTTTTTGCTCGATTCGTGCCTTGGATTTTGGCAGAACAGAAAAAGGAAGTAATAAAAGCTTACTGTGAATATCTGTTGACTGCTGCAAGACAGGGCAACACTATCTTAAAGTGTATCATATTGGGAAATGAGACCTGTTGTGTTGTTACTCCTGCTTACTTGTCTGATAATAACATCAGCCCAAGCCCACGAAATACCTCGTGGCAAGGAGCGCTAGTTAACGCCTGCCGTTGGCAACAGCCTTGAGCACCTTACAAAGCTGGTGGAACGAGACGGCTTCCGTCCTAGTGCGGCCTAATAGGGGCGCCTATCGGAATTAAGTGCCGCCCCGCCCTTGATCAATCCACAATGTTGCGACCCCACAGAACAAGGGCAGACAAAGCAGTACCAGTACGGTCCCTGCCGAGCCTTACTCTGTCCCGAGAGCCCTCAGGCCTTCTGTGAAGTCTGTTATGTCCCCGTGGCTGAGACTGCCTAAGTACAGATCCTAACCAGTACTTTCCAGGCGTTCGCCTGAGTCAAGCGTTCCCAGGCGTTCGCCCGGGGGGGGGATTGAGCACCTTACAGGTGACAGTGCGATTTCGCTCAGGTCCGACCCCAATTTTGATGTAGAGCACCCCGGGGGGGGCGACGGGTCCGAAGGTATCCCACCCCTCTTCCCTTCCACTAAACCACAAGAGAAGACTTTCGGCTCGCCGCATATTTGGAGGGCCGCATGCCGCACCGACACTATACATTTACAAACACCCATGTGTTCTCCAGGATTCGAACCCGAGACCTTTGGCACGGCAGTCAGTAATGCTAACCACTATACCGATTGGGCGGTGGGAAATAAGACCTGGTATCCACAATACGATACAGAAACAAAAGAGAGAACGTGCATAGTGGGAAAAATCGTCTTCTTCCATTAAAAAAAGGGGGGGGGCACAGATGTCGAAATCAAACACTAAGAAGATGCTGATTGCGCATTTTTTATTACAAATTACTTATTTGCCATGAATATCAATCATTTAATCAGTATATGTAAAAGGAAGTATTGTTTCGATTAAGTTATGAAGGAACATTTTTATTCTGGTCAATGTGCACGATCTTTTGCGTGTTTCTTTTGCACCATAATATTAGGCCCCAGCATTGTTTGTACTAGAATACCTTTCTAAGCATTCAACTGCTGTGATAAATCCCCTACCACATTCTCCCGACTTTTCGCCAGCTCATTTTTTCTTTTTTTCGAAGCATAAGATGGCCATGAAAGGACATAGATTTGAAAAAGTCTCGGATATTAAATCAAATGTTGCGCGTATTTTGCGAAAGGTTAGTTTCAACGCCTATAAGCAGTGTTTCGATGACTTAAAAAAAGTTGGCAAAATTTTATAGACTCCTCTGGTAATTATTTTGAAGGAGATAAATTTATTTGAAGGTTAGTAAACTTTTTCTTATTTGTAAGAAATTGTCCGGTTACTTTGTAGAGACATTAGGTATTTTTTGAAACAGGAAGAAGTGAAAAATGAGCAACGCCTTCGCCGGGAATCGAACCGCGGACCTCTGGAATACCCGCCCAGCGTGCAGACCACTACACCCATAAGACACGCTAAGAAGGCGGGAGAAATACCTTATAACTTTATATGTGCACCTTGTATATATATATATCTCAGAGCTCTACGCTATGCATGTAAAATAATTATATATATATATATATATATATCAAAGCTCTACGCTATGCAGATGAAATAATGCAGGTTAGTTTTCCAGTGGCCCACTTTAGAAAAGGTTATTTTTATTTTTAGAATAGAACAGGGAAGTACCCAAATTATAATCAGTAATTTTGAGTTTGATGAAATAATCTATGTTAAGATAAAATTTTTTAATAAAATTAAATAATTCAGAAAACTAGTATTATAAAATTAGTATACAGCAAAAATATATTTTAGTTTTATTAAAATTTAGACAAGTATAAAATTTTGCTCTGGTTTAAATTTCTAGCATTACACGTGACCGGTTCTTAATCTGGCTTAAATTCCTGAACAGCGAGGCACATGATTTTATTTAAGGGGGGATATATAATTCTCCCTAAGCCATATTGGAAAAATCTTTTTTTTCCAAATAACCTTCATTAGCAATAGCTATCTCAGCATCTTACTGTTAACATCTCCTTCAAGAAAGCCTTCTAGAGTCCTACTAATTAAATAATAATTTCACCGTTGCCCCCCCCCCCCCATCTGACGTTTGGCGAGATTCGAAGGTTTCTCTTTTCCCAGTGCCATTATTTCCGTTTCGTTTTTCTCCCGCTCCCCCTCGCATGCAGTGATCCCAGGGTATGGTAGGCCTTATATAGTAGGCATCATTATTGACACTCTCCGATGAAAGTAGGGTGTTTTAGGCTATGAAACGAACTGCGTTTAATGAAAATTACTTTTATGCTTTTAGTTTATATATTTATTTTCTTATTTGTAGTCAAGCATATCTTTTCGAGGGTTCGTTTTCATTTTTATATTATTAAGGAAATGTGTGAAAGCTGATTAAGAATACTGAGATCCTGTTCCATATTCATAATATTTCGTTGCCGCTTTTACTATGGTACTGCTAATTTGTTCTTATAGTACTTCTTAGTTGGTGACATAAACACGTATAAAACGGCAGAAATTAAACTTAATTTGCATGAGAGTCTTCGCTGAGACAACATACTATTGTTTATGTGAAACAAAAATAATAATGAATTTATTTCAATTTTATTATTTACCAACTTCTTAATTTATATTCAGTGGAAATCCGTTGCATGATAAATATTATTGATAATAGATTGCAAAATTCCTATCTTTTAAGTTACAGCTAACGTTGAGGAACTTTAAGAACAGATAAGCGAATTATCGCTTTAGTTCGGTAGACAGAGAACAGATACTCAAGAAGGGTTAGATACCCTTTATTATTCCAAATAAAGTTCACCAGTCGACTCCTTCTTGGAGATTACAATAACGCCTCCACTCGGGCTTGAACTCAGGAAACTAAGGAATAAAGCTTAACTAAGCTAAAAAAGATATAGCCGAAGCTATCAAAATTCTAACAGAGTTGGCCCCTTAACGCTAACTAACGGCGAAGCTATCAAAGGCACAAAGTACGGCGAAGCGTAATAATAGCTTAGAGAGAGTATAGCCAAAAGGCTAACGGGTGCTGCATAGATTATCTGGCTCTCTAACGAAGTCAGTAGAAATTCACAGGTAAATACTCTTTCTCCTCATTTGCACTCGAACGCGATTCAGAGAATACGTTCTGGCCGGAAGTTGTAAGCTGCAATTCAGAAAGGAGAGAAAAGTAACTTAAAATTAACTGTTAGAGAAATTAAGATAAACCTTACAAGATATTTATAATTATGAATTAAATATGCATTATTCGATTTCAGTCGAATATCTTTGTTAATAATAAATATAATATAATGCAATAATAATAAATATTGCAATAACAATATTCGACTGAGATCGGATACATCTTGATTAACAGTGACTGTTTTACTTGAAGTTAATCCTATTTTCTCCTGAGAAACTCTGCATCATAATTAAGATCCGCTGCTGTTCAGCGACCTTAACCATTTGGCTGCTGTTGGGCCAAGCAGATATACATGACAAATATTGAAATGTGAATTATTTATTTCCTCTTAGCATGCTAGCAAATGAAGAAGACAAAAGTCTGAGCCCTCTGATATATGTTCTCCTCGTATGCGCTGTGTAAGTAGCGTAATTATTTAGTAAATTTTAATAACACATACGACCCCAGTTACAATAATTTCAATCAAGTTTTCAATTAAATATTCAGTGCTAGTTTTATTCTATATATCTAGTTTACGAAACAGAACTGATTTATTACGATAGTTTATAAACGCTGTACACGAGATAGGGTATTCCTGAAATGTATTCATCATTTTTCCTTTTTGTTTGCTAATTGAATTTTATTAACCAAATAGTACTTACTGACAGGAAGAAAGTTACATAATATATTTTAGAGACGCCAAATTTCTTTTACACTGTATAGGGTTTTTTGATAGATCTTAGCATCCGCAAAAAGTATGAAAAAAGAATGAGAGCAAGACCGGACTTAGGCATTGGTCTCCGTGACCGGTCGAGAGAGCTCGTAATTGGCAGGGACGCGTGGGGGCGCTGCGATGGCTCTCATGAAAGGCAAAGCGTTGCTCGGCATTGACATCGTCTGTTGCCGAACACTCTCCCGTTTCCCCGATGACACCAGCACGGTAAGTCTCTCCTTTTGAGAATCTTTCATGATCCTTCCTCATCTCGGCCTTCTTTACTTTTCACAAACAAATCACAACTATGACAATAGCTGATTCGAGCTCACTGAAAAGCCGCCAATTTCGCAACTCTAATTTGAAGAGTATAAAATGTGAATATATTTTTGTTAGTGTTTATTTTAACTATCGTCACAGATATCCTAGTAAACGTACTTTTATCAATACTGGGTAACACTTATTAAGAGTTTTATTTTATACATCCTTATGACTCAAACTATATCTGTTTGAAAGGTGGTAATTTATAATACCGAAATTTTATTTAAGAAAACACGTGCATTGAACTTGACATTTTTGAAAACTGTTTAAAATAAAGGAACTTAAAAGTTCATTTGAAGTTGATGTTTGCTCAAATCACAGTATTTACCCGAATGTCAGATGGCCTAATATTATTATTAAAATAGGCTTTACAAGGAGGGGTGAGAAATGAGATTTAATAGAAAACTGTTTAACAGAAATGAACTTAGAAATTTGAAGTTATTCTACATGAAAGTTAAATGAATGGCTAAAATACCCTACAGGGAGTTAAAACTAAATCAATAAGTATTTTAATTCTTAACAGAAAAGTGAAACGACAAACGCCAACTTATTAAAACATAATTTTTAAATGTTACGCTGCCAATAAAAGACATGTATGATTTTCAGAATATTATAGGGTCTTGTATTTCAGACAATACGAAGCATTTTTTTTACTTTAAAAGACTGTTTTATATCATGTTTTAATTTTCTCTGATGTTTTTATAGTTGTCATTTGATTATAATTTTTATGTTTGTTACTAAAATTCGTAGGATAGACATATTTGTGATAATTATATTGAATGTAAAAAAGTGGAGATAAAAGCATTCTTAAAATCGTAGCGAGTTAAATAATGAAGATTAAAGTTTGCAAGAAAATATGCTGAAAAATAAAATTCGTGTGTTTTGTTTTGATAGAGTTATGAAATTTTCTAGTCTTATGAATAAATTTAATATTTACATTCTGAGATAAATTGAATTTCTGTTAGCAACTGCTATGAAATTACTGAAATGTTTAGCTAAAGGCATCGCAGCATGTTATTAGAGAAGCTTCAAGACGCAGAATGTTTTGCGAAAGACATATCTAACAAGACCCTACAATATAGAGCATGTGATTGTTTAGTCGGAACTATTTGACTGAGTTACAGGTGTCAAAGAAAAATATTAGCCTGGTTCTGAGATTAAAAAGAAAGCTCAAACAGAGAATTTCCTGTTGAATCACAATCGATTTGATGAGAGTTTGGAAAGAACGTTACTAAACACAATTTACAGCGAAACTCGGCTAGTTTTAATGTGTTATATGGAGTGAACTTCATATTATAGAACCAGTTCTGTTTCGATTAAATTTATTTTTACAAGCAATAAATTAAAATCTCAACCTTACATTAAATAACATAATTAAACAAAGTAAATGTATTATTCCTGTTAAAACATTCCTGTTATCCTCCTTCTTAAAATGGATTACATTTTTATGATCCATAAACTTGGATACTAATTCAAATTCTACTATTCAGTTAAAAAAAGTAAGGTGTCTAATCAAATTGGAATGTATTTTTCACGAGCAATAAGTTTTGATGACCTGCACAAAGGCTGTTCTACAAAATATTGCCATGCAAGTCTTATTTAAATGAAAAGTCTTCATAAATATGAAAAAGCTCTAATTGTCAAAAGACTCACCTCAAGTAAACATTTCCTAAATTCTTTTTAATTATATATCAGAGTTGGCCAAACTTCATGTCAGTAAGAGCCGCACGTTTGAATTCAGGAATGTTCGAGAGCTGCATCTAGATTTTCTAAAAGCCACAAGTTCATATTTACACCATTATAGAAGTGGTGGAGGAGGTTTTAAATAGAAAGAAATCCCTGATAACTTTGTAAAAAGAGTCTAAACTAATTAATTACTTCTTTTTGGATACTGAATAGTTTTAGTTTACCATATTTCATACATATGTTTTATATGCACGAGCCACACAAATTGAATGCGAGAGCCGTATCAAGCTCGCGAGCCGCACTTTGGCCACCCCTTTTATATATAATCATTTTCTATTAAAAAAAAAAACGAAATAAATAAAAAGATGCGAAAATATATTAGTAGTTAAACACTTAGATGATGCTTAGAAAATATTTATGATATGTTTCATAAATCTTTGCGATATGCTTGTAGTTAAACACTTAGATGATGTTTAGAAAATATTTATGATATGTTTAATAAATCTTTTCGATATGCTTATAAAACAAGATAATTTTATAAGTACATTATGTTTAGTAAAACAAACAAGTTACAAAAGTTCAAAACATTCTGCTTAAATGAGGACTTGTTATTCAAATACTAGCATATTTAGATAAACTTTGATGCTTTGATGAAAGGAAAAAAGCAATCATAAATGAAGCATGAATAAGAGAAGCTTCTAAAATTCACGGGATAAAAGAGCGATTACTTAGCAAAAAATTGGTGTATGGAAGTAAGGTATTATGTGAAAATGTTTATCGAAGTAGACTTAACAAATAATGAAGGCGCCAAACTGTAATTTTTGTCTGAAGCTTCATTCGTTAATAAGCCACGACTTCTTTTTAATGTTGATTGATTTACTGCATTCAGAAGATTTTATAAAACTTAGAATAATATTTATTCATAATTATACGGCACTTATTTCCATACTCTAACTTTTTATTCGTTGTTTGTTTCATTTACTTAAAGTAATAATTAAAAACACTTTTACTACTACTTTGTATTAACAGTGGACTCTGGTATTATTAATATTAAATTCTCCAGCGTTTGAAAAGTGCCACAGCAAGAATAACTGTATTTATAGCTATGTTTGGATAAAGGAATTATAGATAGTAATTTTTTTTTCAGGGCAGTGTCTTGCTGTTTTGACATTTAATTCTCTCGTATTAGAAATTAGTGACAGTTAAGTGTTGCAATCTAACTTTATTGTCCTAGTTGTTCAGTTTATGCTGACTTTCGACGTTGTTATATCAGTGTTGTGTTATTGCATGTGATCTATTGTTGTGTTGGCAACCCTGAAGTCTGGCTTTCGCGTGGTTGGCAGCAGGCCTGCGTCTGAAGACCGACGTGTAGGATTCATCGGAATGTGCGGATGGTTCTCCCGATTCATTGCACGTTGATCATTTTCTTCTTATTAAATGTTCTTCTTCTTCATCACCGGTGGGAAGGAAGGTAGGCAGAGGTGGCTAAAGATCATGATCTCCGAGAGCTCTTTACGCCTCATTCACAGCGTCCCATTTTGAGAAGTGCTCATCAAACACTTTATAGAATGATTCTCGTTTAGAAAATGGTTGACACGTGTCTCTGCAGCGCGCTCTCTTTTGCTAGGCAAATAAAGTTGAGGCAGACTCCAAATAGCGTGATAAAGTTACTCTTTATCTCTCCATCGCCCCTCGCTAATTACCAGCCTTTTGATTATCAAGTCGATTAACTATTTAAGGGTTTTAATATATGGATGTTTCTAACTTGTTTGACAGTAGCTAAAATGAAAATTAAATATCTTAGCACCTAATAACTATCTTAATACCTAATTTCTTTTAAATCGTTTTCTTTATTTAGTATTTATAGTAGTAATCCTTCTTTTGTATTTAATTGTGAATTTCGCACTTTTAAGTGATTTACTTTACGTTTTTTTTAATTATATCTGGTTATTACCTTGGTTTTCTTCCTTATGAAAGTAAAATACTTGCGTTCAATATTTTAAGCGATAACTAATGGTACTTATAATTCTTCATTAAGTCTATATTTTCTTATTTGTTGTTCACATTTAATAAAATATGCATTTTAATTGAAATAGAAATTCTAAGTTGCTCATTTTTTTCCCTCTTACTCGAAGCGGAAGGCATTTATAAAAAATAAAATATGAACTCCTTCACCACATACGACTTCCTTTAACAAATGAAATTAAGCGTAATAGTATACAATTAATTACTATCCACTGTTTCTAAGAACATCTTGAATAATATACATTCTGATTACTGAAAGGAATAGGAGATGTAGTGCTTGTTTAATGATCCACATGCATAAAGTTCCTTGCTATTTCATATTTTTATTTTGATTGAGCGGTACACAATATACGTTTTTTTATCGAGTAAATCTCAAAGTAGTTTTATTACAGACAGTTTGCAAAGAAATGCTTTAAAAGATTCAAAATTATTAAAAAAATCTTAAAAATATTTGAAAAACTGCTGAAAACTCAAATTATTAATCTATATACATATATATCTGTATTTGCGCGTCTGTTCTGTATTTTTAAAAGTGTTCTTTTCTCCAATCATTATAAAAAGCCGCATATTTTATAAACTTAAACAATGTAACATATAAGTATCCATTGGTTACATGTATAAAAATTACACGCAAACTTTTAATTAGTTAAAAAATACTTTGTTTATTTAAAAATTACTTTATTAATAAATTATTCTGAAAATGAGCATTCATACAAAGAGCTAATGACCCGCAAGTTACAGAAGAACAAAGAAGACTTTTATTAGTAATATTCAGGCTACTTGAAAATGAGAGAGACAGAAGACAAATTAACTTACAAGAAATGAAAGATCAAATGAGCGAGATAAAGAGAGCTTTCACTACCAGCGATAACAGACATATGATGAATCATTAACATACCTGTATACTCTAATTAGAAAAAAGTTTTTATAGCCATTAGTATATATTTATGAAAATATCTACTAAGTTATTTGAATTTTATTTCATTAAATTTTAACAAGAAGGTATTATTTATTATTATTATTTTTTAATTTACTTGAATTTTGATTTTAATTCCTTAGTCGAAATTAAGATGAGAATTTAGAAAATTCATTTGCCTACATTCTTCTTATGTATAAATTTGGAAATTAATATATATTTGAGAGATGTATAGAAATTTAGAATACAAAATTAGGGAAAACGGAACTTAAAGTTGCCT